ATATATATATATATATATATATATATATATATATATATATATATATATATATATATATATATATATATATATATATATATATATATATATATATATATATATATATATATATATATATATATATATATATATATATATATATATATATATATAGACAGACACACACACACACACATATACATACATACATACATACATACATACATACATACATACATATATATTGTGTGTGTATTATTTGTCGCCTAAGCAAGCGCATAGGCGTCATGACGATACATTGGCATCGCGCCTCACCTTGGCGCCGTGATAACTATATATGGCCCAAACACTCGCAAGTCCACATCTGGGTATTGTGTATTTCTCGGAGACAATCTAATTTCTTGGTCCTCCAAACATCAAGACACGATATCACGCTCTAGTGCCAAGGCCGAATATCGGGCTCTAGCAGATGTTGCTAAGACTAGCTGGATTCAGAATCTCCTTCTGGAAGTGCAGCAGCCCCTGCGATGTGCCACTCTTGTCTTCTATGACAATGTTAGTGTCATCTACCTCTCCACCAATCCCGTCTAGCATCAACGCACCAAACATGTCGAGGTAGACATTCACTTTGTGCATGACAAAGTTGCCCTTGGACATGTCAGAGTCCTTCATGTAGCGTCCTCTTCTTTGATATCTTCACAAAAGAACTTCCATCTATGCTATTCACAGACTTCCGCACGAATCTTGGGATTCGTCCCCCACCGCAGCCGACGTAGTTGGGAGCATGTTAAATATTGTTAAATATATCAATTATTTAGTATATTCCATATATTTATTATTATATTATTGTAGTTACCATTTGTAACTAGTTTCCTTTGTAGTTAGTTTCCTTTTATAATATCATACCATTAGTAGGATTTGGATCCCATGTATAAATTCATGTAAAGTCCCACATAAGGGAAGAGAAATAAGTGGAGAGTAGCCAACTTTGAGATTCGGAGCATACCCGATTAAGATGGGGCAACACCGGTGTGAGGATAAAAGAATGGTCCACATGGAGGCCAAGTTGAATGAGCTCCAAGAAAGAGTCGGGGAAAACGACAGCGAGACAAGACACAAGTTATCAAAGTCTCCATTCACCTCGAGGATCCACGAGAGTACGGGCGCTCTGCCTAAGGAAGTTGAAGATTGAGTTGAGCAATGGTTTGGCATATTGGTCATTTGATATTAGCTGACTAATCTAGGCAAGTTGGGAAATCTCGTGCTTAATAATATGTTTGCATAAAAAATGATTTATAAAACATTGGCCTAATGTAAATATGTTTGACATTTATATAAAAGTCAAAAATGGCAAAGTTGCTTAAGACTGAGTGTCAAAGTGATATTCTCACCTGGGAGAGTTTAGACTGGCCAGGCCAGAAGAGGATGGAGACCCCACCTCCTACCAATGTGACCACTTGAATGCCATTTGAAGCTAAAACTTCCAACAAATTAGACATTGACCCAAATTCCAAAGATGAAATGTTACAAAATGAACACTACTATGAAGATTAAACTACATGCAGCACGTTCCCTACTTCCATTGTTGTATTTCAGTATTTGGGAATAATAAACATACCACCATACATACACCAGCGCAGATGAGGTTAACATAACACTACAAATGTTGACGACGAAAACACCGAACAGTCTGATCATACAAATCTTTTGAATGGTTTCCTACCAACTGTAGCTGGCATGGAAACAGTAGAGTTCACGCTCATCCGATCTGCACTTCCATCGCATTCCTTAAGAGACGCAGCACCTTTGCTGGACCCTATGTTCCACTTGAAAGACCCCATGTTTGAAGTCAAAGGGAAGGATGACCTCCTCATCGTGTGACTAGATGGGGTTCCCACGCTTCCCTCCCTCTGTCTCGCTTTGGCTTTGGCTGAAATGGTAGGCGTCATGTAATTTGGAACAGAAAAGGGAGGACAGCTCGTTAGGCTGTCATCGTCCTTCAAAGGAAACCGAGAAGTCGAAGCAGCCGTTCTGGCTCCTGAATGAGCATATTTTCCTAGGCTTGAGGAGTACTGAGGCGTTCTGCCGGGAGTGTAATGAAAGAGTTTCGCTCTCATTGGAACCGATGACTTTGTTGATGTTGGAGTATCTGCTTCAAGATTCCCATACTCGCTATACAGGTTTCTGCAGGTGGTCGCTTTGCGTAGATGGTTCGGTGTACACTCTGAAATTGCCCTTTCCGGTGATAGATTCACACTTTTCGCAGCAGATTGGCTTTCGGAATGGTTTGCAGAAGGGAGTGGGTGCTCTAACCACTTCCACCACAAGGGAAAGCTGTTTGATCCGTTGTTCGTTGTTGATTTAGGACTGGCTTTCCAGAGCTGCAGATAGCAGATTTTAAATATAAAAGAGCCCAAGAAGAAATACTGCAGAGTATTATACATGGAAGCCAAAAAACAAATCTATAAAATCCAAAGAACAAATGCTATGGAGTATCGAACATGAAAGACTAGTTGCAAGTGGAACATTGCTTTTGTCATAATGTAACACCAACCAAGAAGGTATATGAATCAATACAAAATTGCAATTCTTCCCAATAAAATGTGTACTGCTAGCCCATGTCATTACTTCAAACCATCAGAATTTTAAAATTTTGTAGTCATATGAAAGGATGTTGTGGAAGTGAGAGGTTAGAAAAAACAATTCTTTGTGGATATTGAGTTCTGAACCCTACACACAGCCTTTACTAACTACTTCCCCTATCCCACTCAGAAATTCCAAATTGTTATGCAAAATGCACTAGAAGTTGGGATTTCGCAGCGGGACATAATTCTGACCAAAGATGATGCATACACGCCATAATGCTCTGGTAATTACCTTATGAGAATATGCATAGGCCATAGCTCTTTCTCTTTTCATGACTGCCTCTACTTTTCTTCTTCGTCTTTGGTCAACTTGATCTTTAGATAGCCTGCTACCATCCCAATTCTCATTGTCGCCTGCCTCAGACTAAATCAAATGAATATCATTAGCATAAGAAGATATCAAAGCTATCTATATGAAAAGGCAAAAGAAATTTCGAAAACAGTGATCATGAGCAGTGTTCCTTAATCGGCAACATGCCTTTCATTTATTGAGCCGCTGCTCAGATTGTATTGGAGATCTCAAAAGCTGCGTCACCGCTGCTCACATCATGTCGTATGTGGTTGCTTCTCAGATGAGCGTGGAGGGAGTAGCAACGACCGCTACACATTGTAAGTCACCACTGCTCAGACCATCGTGACTCAACCTAAGTCCGAGAACGACAAGGATTTGATGATAGTGGCGGGGAGGGATATATGATTTAAGTTTTTTCAATGATATCATTATTGAGTGCTTTTTTCTATTATAATTATTACGATTTGGGTGCAAAATCAAATGATTTTTGTAGATAGAATTCAGATTTCATTTGTAGGAATTTATTTTTTGTTTTACAATAGCATTTTATAAAATACAGAGGATGCTTCTTTAGTAATTTGACTTTCTAAAAATGTATTCTTAGGACAGAACTATTTTAAACGCAATCATGAGCTTTGGACAATTTGAGGAAGAACTCATTGGGAAGAGAAGATGGATAAACAAATCGAAGAGGAATTATTATAGCTCCATTGTTAGTTTTCCCTGTTCTTTTTATTTGCCGCAATTCGTGTGCTTGCAACATTTTTTTCAATTTTTCATAGTTGATGTTGACGCAAGAAAGGTTTAATTCTTGAATGAACGGCATTACTTTTTTTTTACTTTTGGTTTAAAACAGTTTGTTCACAGCATTGGTCTAAAGAGTTCATGACTTAAAACTACTTTCAAACATTATCTTCTAAACTCTTGAGGATTCAACAACTTGAGTTGAATAAGAAAATGGGTTAAGAAACTAATTCAATGTGAATCTCATATAATGGGTTAAGAAAATGGAATCTCGCATATCTCATATAATAAGAATGATATCAATGTGAAGATAGAGCATGTATGAGAAAATCATTGAAAGTACAATTTATTTTATAGGAATAGATTGATTGTTATATCTGCTCACAGTATATACATTTATATGTGCCTTCATTATCAATATCATTAGGCAAATTATTATGTCCATCTAAGGGGCAGATCAACCGTCTTGCGTTATATGATTGATAAGTGTTAAGGAACTAATTCAACCAAAAAGCTTAAGCTTGTGGTTGTAGGCTTAGGAAAGCTTCATGCTCTAACACGCCACCTCGTGCAGGCGATGTCTGTTTTTGCTCGAGTCATGCATGTAAACATTTTCTTTTATGTTGAGTGACGGTGAGATTCGAACTCGTTATCTCCTGGTCAGCAAGACCAAGACTCATATACAATGTCAAGGAACCAACTCAACAAAAAACAATCATGGGCCTTCAACCACAAGCTTGAGCTTTTGCTTGAGTTGGTTCCATGACAATAAACATTTACTTAATACGGAGTATTAAGATAAGCATTTATTTGTTTTATTTTTTTGTATATTTTTTTATATTAGAAGGTCCATATACACCCAATGTGCATTGTTGACTCTCTCATATCATTAAAAAGATCAGAAGTTCTGAATATCAAGAATAGTAGAACTGCAAGGATATGGACTTGAAGTGATACATGAATTTAGGAACTACATTTGTAACATGTTTATGATATGCACCATTTTAGGGTCTCCCATTATTGAATTTTGTTTGTCTTTGTTTAGGATATTATATTCATTTATTTTTCTAATTCTTTATGGTTTCTTTTCTTCTTGCATGAAATATGAATAACCCTTTGTATATTCATCGAGATAGCTTCTTCTCTAGTCTAGGTTACTGTTTTGTTGTTTATGGTGGGGCTAGTTTGGGTGGGAAACTATTAGATGTATCGTGGCCCCATGACATACACTAAAGGATACTTTTTCACTTTTCTTTTTTTTTGGCTTTTAAGCATTAGAAATATTTTGGTGTTTTTTAAATGTTTTGTACTCCATTATCTTGTATAAAAATGTACCTCATAGTATCATGGAGTTTCTTACCAATAAGGTTATACCTTGCTATTAAAGAACATAAAGACCAAGCAGACTAAAATCCATAGAGAGGTTCAGCAGCATACAAAATTAATCTCTGCTAAAGATCCATTTATGTGTGTATTTTTAAATCCTAGTTCTCAATGGAAATCAAAAATCAAATGTATAGAAACTTACCCGAATGGACCATTTGCTCAAGGTACTCTCCCCATCCTTATAATTCTTGAAAGCCAGCCATTGGGGTTCTTGGTTATCCAACATTTCGATCCTACGTAATCGGATTTGATTCTGCACCCTAACAAAAAGCTGCATCTGTTTCATGGTATTAGCTGTTTGCCTTTTGACATTATTGCCTCTAACCACTCCTTGAAGCCTTAGTACACCTCTCAAGGATCTGAAACTCTTCCTTGCCTGTTATGTAAGAAGTATCGTTACCAATATGTATACCCTACCCTATTGGTGCTCTATATAGGTATCCTCCACCAAAATCTAGAAGAATATATGTAGTACTGTTAGCATGAAGATCCATAATATGCCCAAAATTTTTGGATTGGCAATCATTGCAAAATTTTCCTTAAGACTAATTGTAAACATGATATGCTTAAATATAGAATTGATTTTTTCTTACTCCACTTCAATATCACAGAAAAAGAAAATAGTACTCTTCCATCCCTTGTTAATGTTCCCAATTTCCTTTTTAGGATGTCCTCCGTCCCAATAAAAGGTTCCACCTTTGACTTGGCAAGCAGATTAAGAAGAGTAAAATTATGTGGTCAAAGTGATGCAGAGGAGAGAGAAGTTATAAGGACCAGAACTTTTTTTTCTAAAAGTGGAAAGTGGAACCATTTTTTGGGACGAAAAAAAAAGAAATGTGGAACATTTTTATGGGACGGTAGGAGTATTATCATCTCCTTTCATGGAAAGAATTGTGTGACTCATAATATTGCTCTCCTTTTAATAAACTTAAACCACACAATTTTATCTCTTTTCAACTCATTTTCCTTATGGTGATGTGACATGTCCCAAAATAAAGTTATCATTTCCTTTTTAGGAAAGAATCATGTGGCTCATATGTTTTGTTTATCCTCGGCATAAATCTCAAACACACAATTTCACCTTTCCTAAACCCATGCAAAAAATAAATGGGAGCTTTAATTTGGGATGGAGGACCACGATAAGTCGATAAAATGGCTTTTATCACTTTATATTGCATATTAAAGTGTACCGTTTGGAAAACAAATTTGCCTGAAGAGTCAGTCAAGTCGGGTTCGGTGGGGTTTGACCCAATTTTGTTGGGTCATTTCGACTCAATTTTAATCGGTCATTTCGACCATATTTAGAACATTAAATGATTATACTCAGTGCATTCAACACAAGTAATAGTGCAGCAATATATTAATTTATTAAAAGCTTACCATGTAACCCCGAAAGATTGACTGGATCGTAGTAGCTGAGAGATGAAGCACTTGTAAAGTCGGTTCTGCTCTATGTTTGTAGATGGTTTCTCTGTGGTCCTGGATCACCTTAGAAGAAGCAGCCTTTGGAGATATTGGTTTTGGAGGGGTAACATGGGAAGAGCCAGCTTGTTGGGAGCAAACTTGTACGGGGTCATGCTTTGGGGATGCAACCCTTGGAGAAGCTTCTCTTGGAGGTGAATGCCCTGGAAAAACAGCTCTACAGGCGGTAGTCTTTGGAGAAGTAACCCTTGGAGATATTGGCGGTAGTCTAGGAGGAGAAGTAATTTTTTGTTGTTCAGAATAGAGAGGAACAAATAGCTTCTGCTCATCTGCCTCTCCCAATATTTTCTCAATACTACTTGGTTCTCTAAAGAGGGGAATAAATGATTTGAACTCTCCATGCTTAAGTCTTCTCCGTTCCTTCTTCTTTTTTTGAGATGTTTTGTTTTCTGGCCCCTGCTACATTCAGTGTGACAAAGGAAAGGATCTTACAATTTGAAGGTGAAGCAAAAGAAGAAAATGAATACTCCGTTCTACCCAGTAGTACAAAGCAACAGCTCATGAAGTTTCACCATTCTTTGTAGTTGAGGCAATATGCGATCTCAAACAAGTGGAACATTCATACTTGGAACTCTAAGATATTGAAACACATCAAACCCAACATTTTCTATCAAGTATAAACTTACAGTAATAAGCTTGTCCCTGGAAGAAGAATTTGGGGTAAAAACTCTTCTTATGGCAGATAACCAACTCCCTTTCTTTCCCATTTTCTTAGCATTACTTCTTCACCCTACCATAATAACAGACTCAATAAGTAAATCAATCAATAAATAAATAACAAATTTCTTACCACCAGTCAATTCATAATTAATAAAGTGATACTTTTACAGTTTTACCAACCTGTCAAGCAAGCACTGTTCGTTTAATCGCAAAAACGTTCTTCAATTATTTAAGGAGTGGTTCCACCCAACCCCAGAACAAGAAAAGAGTGAGATAAGTGATAAGTAAATCAACGAGGTACATATTTAGGAATTACGATAAATCACTAAATAAATGGTAACAGATTGTGCGCTCAATCATTCACCCGGCTTGCAGTTCATTTGAGAGTGAAACATAGTTTTATCAGTATGTAGCTTCATTTTGGAGCTGTTGATCTTAATGTAGCAGTTGATCTACGGCTTTTTTGTTACAAAAATATCTCCAACTTGTTTTCTCCAAACATTATCATATATCTTAATCAACACCTAAAATCCAAAATTTCTCAACAATTGTTCTAACAACTACAACTACTACTGTATTGCAAACAACTCAAATGAATGCCCCTATTTTTTTTTATTTTCCTTATCATAATTTTGACAGAGATAAACACCAAGAAAAATCAAAGAGAGGAAAAGTAAAAAGATCAAACTCCGTACATTTTTTTAAGTACACATCCGAAGTTCTCACAAAATAAGCATGGGTGGAATTCAAAAGCCAAGGAAACAACATCATATCAGGGGTACACTTGAAAACAAGAAAGATTGAAGATTTCCAGCATAAAACTGGAAAAAGGCATACTTTTTACACGCAATTAAAAAACAAAACAGCTTGCATAAAACCAAGAAAAAGATCTACAAAACCAAATCAATAGAAAACCCAAATAATAGTTCATAAGGGGGAAACAAAACCCTTTACCTCTCAAGTTTTGGTCCACCGTCCATAACCTTTCAGTAAATCTGCATCAAACCCAAGCTTTCTCTAACTCTCTTTCTCTGTCTAGAAACACTTGTTCTTTTTTTTTTTTTTTAACTTTCTCTTTCTAGCTCACTGCTCCTTTTACAAAGTCTACAAAATTAACCTTAAGTTGACAACTTGACGCCTGTTTTAAAGAACTTAGACTCCTTTTTCTTGTTAACTTAACCTCGCCAACTCCTAACTGCTTCCTTTCTCGATTAGCTATTACTACTTGCTTTATCCCGTTATTCACTTATTTGTAGCTTATCCGGGGTGAGAAATGAGTTTTTATGTTCCTTGACTTTTGAATTTCTTATACTCCCCCATCCCACCGAATAAATACCATTGTTTCAATAATTTTTATTTATTTCTATATTTTCATTAATAATTAGATAAAATGAAATATTTTTATCACTTTTTGTTTTATAAATTATAAACAGTGCAATTTATACTTTTTATTTTTATACTAATTTGTAATTAAAATAATTTTAATAATAATGATATTTTACACATTGTCCGGTGAGTTGCATTCAATATGAGACAGAGGGAGTACTTTCTTGCTCCATTTTCTTTTTCTATTTTTCAAGAAAAAGAAAAAAAAGATAAAGAAAATGTTATGGATAGTAGAGTAGTATATTTAGTAGTAATACTATTAGGGGGCGTTTGGTTCGTGCTGAGGAAAGGGAAAGGAAACAGGAAAGAGAAAGATTGCCCCTGAATTACTCTGTCTGTTTGATTATTATGGATTAATGATGATGATTATTAAGAATAAAAGTATTGAACTATAATCAAAATAAATGGATTGACGAAAAATGAGTTTTATTGTTAAGGCTATCTAGAAGACCTCTAAGATAGACCTCCGATTAGAATGGGCCTTGCGGGTATAATTATGTATATTTGGTGGCCTTGGGTAAAATCGTACGTACGGGATCCATAACCAAACTAGAGGAACTCGTTTGGGGATACCACCCAACCCGACAGTTAGTATCCTACTGTTCGGTTTTCTAGATTTGTACCTTAAGCGAAGGCTAGTTTAAGAGTTAGTAAATCAATCGGAATATGTGTACCTTAAACTAATGACCTAGCTTAAGAGTTGGTTAGAAGTTCATTAAACTAGAACTAGTTTAAGAGTTGGTTAGAAGTACCTTAAACTAGAATTAGTTTAAGAGTTGGTTAGAAGTACCTTAAACTAGAATTAGTTTAAGAATTGGTTAGAAGTATCTTAAATTAGAATTAGTTTAAGAGTTGGTTAGAAGTACCTTAAACTAGAATTAGTTTAAGAACTGGTTAGAAGTACCTTAAACTAGAATTAGTTTAAGAATTGGTTAGAAGTACCTTAAACTAGATTTAGTTTAAGAATTGGTTAGAAGTACCTTAAACTCGAATATAGTTTAACTACATTAAACTAGAACTCGTTTAAGAGTTGGTAAATATAAAAAAGATTGGCCTTAAACTAAGTATAGTTTAAGTATATTGTTGAATGACAAATGATGAATATTGTATGGTGAATGTTGAATAAAAATGTTGAATATGAATATGCATGTTAAATGATTGAATATTGATTATTGAATATCTAAACTAAACATTATGTGCATGATATCAAATGGTTTGATTATCAATTGAGATTCTGTTTGTATGGATGTTCGACGTATTAGATATGCTTACTCAGCTTTACCGCCGAGCGTGTAGTATGTTTTATTTGCTACACGCAGGTTAATGGAAAAAAATGATGTGACGTAATTTTGGAAGCAGACGGAGGCGAGATTGTCGGAATGGATGTGATGTTTTGAATTAAAGAACATAAATAAATTATGTTTGTAATTATGATTTTTTAAGCTTCCGCAACATTGAAAACTCCGTACTGTATATGTTATGAAAAATATTATTGTGATAAATAAAAGTGTTTGAAAAGTTTTAAATTTTTACGATTACCAAGTTAAATACTTTAGTCCGAAAGGGGCTGCAGACCTGGACGGATTAGGGTGTTACATTTTCTTTTTCTTAAATTATAAAACTTTATGATGTATGTTGTTTTGTATGGCAGGTGTTTCATTCTACTTCGCCCTACATCGTAGCCGAATTAGACAAGGTTAGAGAATTTTGGGCGGGGGGTTTTCTTGATGAACTAGTGTAAGTTTTGTGTTGCATTGTGTAGTTGGTTGTATTACTTTTAGAAGAGTGTAGTTTATTTGTTGTATGACTCTTAGTTGTGGTGTTATAGCTTAGCTTGTAAATTTTGATATTTTTTAGGTTTTAGGTGAACACGTGATCGATGTAAATGTTCACTTTTTTTGGTTTGTTTTGTTTAATTTGGTTTTGTGAATATAATTGTGTTATTGGGTTATGTTGTAGTTGTTGTTGGTTCTATGAATTTTGCACAGAATTCTGTGAATTCTATGCAAAATTGCAATTGTGGTGGGTTGTTAGTTAACAATCTGTCCAAGTTAAAAAAATATTATTTGCATCGGTTGTTAGCTAACAACCGATGCAAAAGACCCTTCCCCAGAAATGGGAAGGAGCATTTGAATCGGTTGTTAGCTAACAACCGATTCAAATGCCCCTTCCCAGAAGCACCAATTTTGGGAAGGGGATTTTGAATCAGTTGTTAGCTAATAACTTATTCAAATGCTCCTTCCCAGAAGTGGCGTCAATTCTGGGAAGGGGCTTTTGAATTGGTTTAACAACCGATGTAAATAGTAATCTCAGCATTTAAATCGCGCAACGGTTTCCAACCAATTTAAAGAGGTAAAAATGACCAATTTAAAAGTCCTTTTTTGTAGTAGTGCAACTCCTTGAGGAACTCAACCAAAGAAATCTTACTTGCATCATATTAAGCAAAGTATGCCTACGAGATATTGCATCAGCTATAACATTATCTTTACCATGCTTATATTAAATTACGAATGGAAGTGACTCCATGAATTCGGACCAATGAGCATGGCGCCTATTGAGTTCACATTGACTTCTAATATGCTTAATAGACTCATGATCGGTGGGTAAATTTCACCCATGGTATACGAACTTTCATCATTATTTCATTTCGGTATATAAACTTTAATTTCTATCACAAAAGTACACGAACTTTTAACATTCTTTCACCCGTGGTCCAATATGCGGTTTCTAAGTCACCTTCAGGTCATTTAGGATCAAATTATAATTTTATAAATTTAAATTTTATGATTTTGACCCCTCTTCTTTTTTTCTCTTGGTTCTCCACCCTTTTCTTCATCTTCTTCAAGACCCCCCTCCATTTTTTTCTTCTCTTCCTCTTCCAGCCCCACCCCACCCCACCCGCACCATTTTTTCTCTTCTTCCCCTCTTCTTCTAGCCCCCCCTCCAACCCCCAGCCCACGCACCCATTTTTTTCATTCTTTGTTTGAAAATAATGAATAAGGTTGCATGGATCAGAATCAGTGGCGGAGCCAGATATTTGATGGAGTGGGGTCAATATAAAGGATAAGTAAAAAAAAATTACAAGAAAGAGTTAATAAAAAACAATGTTGTCTGAGAAGGGATTCGAACCCTAGCCTTCTGAACTTATTTACGAAGGTACGAATCTTCAACCACGTCTGCTATATAAGATTACTTTTACAATACTACATATTTGCTTTCTTATCACAATTCAGTGAGTGCAACTACACCCACTTGACCTTATGTGGCTCCGCCACTGATCAGAATCACAGACAATAGTGGGGATACTAGTGAAGAAGCATAATCCAAGAAGAACACTCTGGAGTTTGCAGAACAAAGAATGATTGAACCCGCATTTCAAAGAATTATTGAAGAATGAAAAAAATAATGTGAGGTTTGGATTGTAATATGTTGTTTCTCCTTTTTATCACAAGTGCATACTCCCTCTCTTTCACAAAAAGAAGAAGAAGAANGAGAAAAAATGGTGCGGGTGGGGTAAGGTTGGGGTGCGGGTGGGGCTCGAAGATGAAGAGAAGAAAAAATGGTGGGAGAGGGTGGGGGATCTTGAAGAAGATGAAGAAAAGGGTGGAGAACCAATAGAAAAAAAGAAAAGTGGTCAAAATCATAAAAGTTAAAGTTATAAAATTATAATTTGACACCAATTGACTTGAAGGTGACTTAGAAACCGCATATTGGACCACCGGTGAAAGAATGTTGAAAGTTCGCGTACTTTTGTGATAGGAATTAAAGTTTATATAGCGAAGTGAAATAATCATGAAAGTGCGTATACCATGGGTGAAATTTACCCCATGATCGGTATGAATCACAAACTCTTTAGGTCTTAGGTAATGCTCCCAATATTGTAATGCATAAAATAAAGCATACAACTCTATATCATATGTAGGATATTTAAGGGCGGATCCATTTAGTTTTTCACTAAAGTAAGCTATAGGCTTTCAACCTTGAAGCAAAACAGCCCCTACCCTAACACCGAAAGCATCACAATTCAGTTCAAAAGCAGAATCAAAATTAGGTAGAGCAATAATAGGTGTGGTACAAAGCTTTTTCTTTAAAAAATTAAATGCATCTTGTTGTTCTTTACCCCAACGAAAACCAACATTTTTTTAATCACCTTGGTTAGTGCTGCGGCAATTGTGCTAAAATCTGGCACAAAGCGTCTATAAAAGCTTGCCAGCCCATGAAAGCTTCGCACGTCACTAATGTTCCTCGGTGCAGGCCATTCCATGACCAATTGAAATTTGGCACTATCCACTTCTATCCCTTTGGTATTGATAATGTATCCAAGGAAATGTACGGATGTAGTGCAAACCTTACACTTTTTAAAATTAACAAATAATTTATTTTGCCAAAGTGTGTTCAAAATGGTTTGTCGGTGCTACCTATGTAGTTTGAGATTTTGGCTATAGATGAGAATATCATCAAAATAAAAAACTACAAATTTGCCCATAAAAATTCGAAGTACATGGTTCATCAAACGCATAAAAGTGTTGGGAGCATTTGTTAGACCAAAGGGCATGACGAGCCATTCGTATAGACCTTGTTTGGTCTTGAAGGCCATTTTCCATTCATCTCCTTCTTTTATGCAGAATTGATGGTACCCACTTTTTAAATCTATTTTAGAAAAATAACTACAACCATGCAACTCATCAAGCATATCATCCAAACGGGGAATGGGGAAATGGTATTTAAGAGTTATTTTATTGATTGCATGACAATCAACACACATTCTCCATGCCCCATCCTTTTTAGGGACGAGTAAAACAGGAACCACACATGGAAT